AAATATATTAATTGACTTTGACACTTTAGCCCACTTGGCGTGGTATAGAAGAATTCAAACTTTTATAAATTATTAGTAATTTTATATTATATTTATAATTTTTTTAAATTAATCAATTGTATCCGATCTATTGAGTGACTAATCCAGATCAAGTACTGCAGAGACGAGAGCGACCCTCTCAACCCAGTTTGCTCCATTCACAAACGTCGTGATTTAAATCTCTGACATTACTTAAAGAATCTAATGTTTTATCCCACTAGATCAACTAGTTGTTGATTATATTTATAATTATTAGTTTAACAATAACAAATAAAATACACAATTTAATTGGGAGAAATAACATGTCTTAAATTATGCCCAAAACGACTTAAGCGGTCAATTACTTTAAATAAATAGAGGATTACAAAAAATGTCACTAGATGTCCAAATTAAACAAATTTGAACTAATAGTTTTATGTTCTTGTCTATTTATTTATTTTTAAAGTTATTTATGTTTGATTTATGTTTCGTCTATTTGTGTTTTAAGGTGTTCGTGTTCCGTTTGTTTTGTATTCATTGATATGTTCGTCCTATTTTCAAAAAAAATGGATATGTTCGCCCAACATTCGTGAATATGTTCATTTATATCTTCATAAAAATTGTGAAATTATATTACTAGTCGTTAAACTCCTTATAATTCATAATTAGAACTCTAAAATTTATAATATGTTCAATTTAGTCCCTATATTAACCAATATTTAAAAAATAAAAAATAAAAAGGGGAATCGAATAAACGAGCTTATAAAGGAGTTTTTTCGTGAACAAAAATGAACGGAACACATCTTTGTTCGTGTTCATTTGTTTATTAAATGAACATCAAATTTTGGTTTGTATTCATTTATTTAGTTTAATAAACAAATACAAAGGAATGTTATACGAACAATTCATTGAAATCTCTATTCGTTTACACTCTAAACGTCACCAAATTATGATATTATTTTAAATTAATTTTTAAACTTTAAATATTTTATATCAATTTCAATATTATCTCAATTGTGTCAAACTTTGATAGGTAGCCCTAACTTTAATAAATTATGTTTTTTTTTATTTACTAAATTACCTTAAATTTGCCTCAGTTCTATTGAGAATTTCATGTAAAAAAAACATTATTGGAAAATTATAAAAAAAATTAACTAATCTATATGCTAGCTTACCGCATAAATTATTTTTTTATAAAAATAAAAGTGACCGGTTTTATTAAAAATGATAAAATATGAAAAACTATGAAAAATTATGTTAATCGTAAACTAGACATATGATTAGTACATTTCATATAATGATTGATATAAGAAAATTAGTAACTTGTGATCATACATTTATCATAGAAGGAAAATTTAAAAACCCCATCTATAAAACTCGAACAAATATAAATACGAACATATCTAACTACATCGGCAAATGAACCACAACAATAACCCTATCCAATTTAATAACAATATGAAATTATAATTATGCTTAAACACATAATCAATCCCTAAACTTGGCACTTTTGATCAAGTTATCCCTTAACTTTTTTCCTATCAAATTGACCCATGGAATTGACAAATTGGTCAAATTATCCTTTAAACTCAACAATTTTGGGTCCAATTAACCCTTGAACTTTCTTTTAGTCAAGTTACACATCCTAAGCTTCAAAATATAACATGAAAATAACCCCTAAGATTAACGTGTTAATTTTTTAAAATGAAATTTAAAACCCTCTTCCTCTACGAATGTAACCACCTTAATGGTTCACGTCGATAGACTAAAAAGCATTAACCTCATGAATCTTAGAGGCCATTTATGTCATGTTTTCAAAGTTCAGGGGTAATTTAATCAACTTGCTAAGTTCAAGGGGCAAATTGTCTGAATAAAAAGGTTCAGGAACCAATTTAATCAACTTGATAAAGTTTAAGGATGATTTGCATTTTAAGCCATATAGTATAATACATAAAATAAATAACAAGTGGCTAATATAAAAACCATCATCTATTTTTTTTCAATAATGACGAATAAAAAAATAAGCATTATGTATTCTTTCTTTTTGTTCAAAAAGTAGTGAGAGAGACTGAAAATTACGAAGTAATATTAATTGATTTCTATGTCATATATTACAATATAAGGAAAAAGTAATATGTGTTTACCAAACTTAGAAACGTAAATGAATTAAATTTGAACAATTTTTTTTTATTTGTGTTTCTTTATTTATTTTAAAAGTGTTTATATTTAGTTAATATTCGTTTAAATTTTAATATCCTGTTTATACTCGTTCGTTTATTTTAAAGATATTTCGATTAATTTAATATTCGTGAACATATTCATTTAATATTCGTAAACATGCTCACGTAACATTTATATAAAGTTTGGTAGCTAACACTCTTTTATCTTTAATTTGGAAACCAAAAGAAAATTGATGAAATTATATCACTAGTCCTTAATCTTTTTAGACTTCACAATTTGAACTCCAAAATTCTCTCATGTTGAATTTAATCTCTACATTCTTCAATATTAAAAAATAAACTAAATAAGAGAATCGAAAAAACGAGCTTATTCGTGAATTAAATTGACACACTTATGTTTGTGTTCATTTGTTTATTAAATGAACATAAAATGATTATTTATACTATTTATTTAATTTAATAAAATATTAAATAAATATTATATGAAAGATCACAAATTCACCGAATATTCCATTCATTTACACTTATTATCAAGATAGTGAATATGTTTTATTTCTAATCATTTTTTCATTTTCTAAGAATACACAAACTATATATTTAATTAAAATATCATTAATATTTTATTCAAATTTACTTTTTAAAATGTTAACACATGTCGTACGTTATTATAATATCTTTAAGATATTATTTATAAATATCCGAGAAATATAGGAAGAGGTTTATCGTGGGAGATATTATAGAGGGATGGGTCCAATTCCATAAGTCACATCATCAAATTTCATTGCATTTTAATAAACCATTTTTATTTTGTGGATGATATAGAACATCTATTTAGGGTGTAAATTTTATTCGATTCGAGATAATAATATGATTGTTATCTGTATATTATATATAATTATTATAATATTATATATATATGTTTTAATTTCTATTTCTATTATTGAATAAAAATAATTTTTTAATATTATGTTAAGTTTAATGTGAAGTTTTTTTTGAAATAAGGTATTTTGTATTAAAAGAAAATAAAATACATGACCTCATTAAAAATCTCTCTAATTCTAATTGGAAAAAAAAGTGAGCCTAGGGGGGAAGAGGACAACACACATGAATACGAACATTAAACAATCCAACTCCTCCATACTACTTAACAGAGCCGATTCAAGTTTAATGTGAAGTTTTAACTTAAATTTCAAATCAAATTTTGAATAAAGTGAAATCATCTTAAATTTAAATCGAGTTATTTTCATGGGAGATATAGTAATCAGATCAAGTTTAGATTAATCAAAAACTTGATTTAACCTATAATAATTAATTATACTAAATTAAAATGCATTAACTAATCCACAGTTTAAACTAAATCAAATACCTTAATTAGAAGTTAATCCTATGTGAAACTTAAAAGCTCTTTCAATAACATAGAGATAATATAATAATATTAACCCAATTTTGTAAAATTTCTAAAACAAAATGTCATTTTTTATAAATAGACTAAAAGATATTAACATATATTTGAATTATTTATTTTTTGAGTATTTATAGATTTTAAAATAATTTTTTATTTGTATTTAATTAGTGGTTATCTTTTTTGAAATAGCGATGTATATAAAAATCATTAGACTCTATCACGAGTGGTATAGTTATTTTAGATTTTTATATCTCCAATATTAAAAGTATGAACATCTTTTTTCAAACTAAAAAGGAAAAAAGAAAATCCAATCTAAAATTTCCAAACTTAAACTTTCAATCCAAATCCCAAATCCAATCATCAAAGTTTCCACAGAAAACAACAACAAAACCCATCGATTTTCTCATGCAAAACATAAACAAATAGACGAATCATCACCAAAGAAAATCTCAAACTGTTACTTAAAATTTGAACGTTAATCCATGACACTGAACTTCATAACGAGGCTGAGGTCGCGCCGGGTGGTTCGAGACCAGCTGGAATTTTTCTTTCAGTCTTTCTTACTGACATTTATGTATGATATAATTCATAGTATAAGATATGATTAAGGATGTTTAAAAAAAATTCGAAATCGACAGATTTTGGTCCGTCTTAAGTTTATCTATATTTAAAAAAAAAAATTGGTTGAAACGGTCTAAAATCTATTAATTTCATATACATATACTTATCTACATGGATAAATATTTGATATAATATTTTAAAAATTTCAAGATGTATTTATATTCATATTTAAATATATTTATTACGAAATCAATCTAAAAATATTATACAAAAGTGAAAAATCCAGGTAATTTAGATTTAAAATTTTATATTTTTCTATGGGGAGCAGTGAGCAGCATTCATCTTGTGTTATTGGACTGTGTTTGCAGCCTGGCCCCAAGGATGATCTACTCCAGTGCTTTATAAAACGGAACCGATCCTCTCAAACATATCGCCTTGCTTTAGCCAATGGTGAGCTTTTTCTTCTTCAAATATTACTATTTTTATTTATGTTTTTTCAAATCGAGTATGGATATTCAATATAAATGTTATCTTTAATATTTTTAAAAAAATTGAATATGTTATAGATACGAGTGTAACCATAATGGAAAGTTCCTTCTTGCCGCTCGCAAGTATAGTCTGCCACTGTAATGATTATATCATCTCGCTAAATGCTGAGGATATGTCAAGGAGAACAGTTCTTATGTTGGGAAATTGATGAGTTCGACTTTGTTGTGAGTGTCGAATATGAATAATGTTTTAATGTGTTAAATGCGAATGTTGAATATAATATTTTCAAGAAAAAGTTAAAGAAACAAAAACTACAACAAAATTTATGTTTTTTTTTACTTTCTTTTGGCAAAGATCGAATATTTAAGCAATCAATTCACTATATTCGATGAAAGATCTTCAAGTACCGTTCGAAGATGCTAAGTATCACTCTTATCGGCTACCTAACTATCCCATGGCTCACATTTCATATGAATTGGATGTTTTGGCCTAAGGTAAGAGTTTTCAATTATTTTGCACAAGGATTCGAGTGATTATATCAGACACATCCTTATATTTGACCGTCATTTTCGAGTCCAAAGAGTTGATACAAATGTAACTTATATGACTTCCAGGGGTCCAGGAGATGCAATGTATAATGGAAACCATCCCTGCCACTTCGGTCACACCCGAAGGGGCAGCTCGAACCCGGGCTGAGTTTTTCACGGTGCAACACAAATGTATCTAAATCAAATCCGTCTTTATTCAAAATCGGCTAGCATGGGCAATTTTAGATCGGGATCTTTGTCCGGTCAAGAGAATGATGTCGCTGGTGTTGATAAATAAGGCCCCAAGATGGGATGAACGACTCCATTGTTGGTGCTTGAACTTCCGTGGCCGAGTGACGGTCGCTTCGGTTAAAAACTTTCAGTTGGTGGCTTTGCCGAAAGCCGAAAGGTCATCCTCCAGTTTGGGAAAGTTGGAAAAGATATATTCACCATGGATTACCGGTATCCGATCTGCATTCGAAGCATTTGCAATCTGCCTCAGCAGCTTCGACACTAAGATTGCTTGCGAATAAATGATGCATGGTTTTAACAGATTTGTATTATTATTTGAATCGGCTTTTTTTATTTTCTTTAAAATATTTGTGTTTTATCATTTAAATAAGTTAAACTAAAATTAATCTTGGTCACTAAAAGTTTTGAATAAGAATGTATTATATTTTCCTTTTATCAAAGGGAGAGTTTCGTAGCTTTCAGTCGGCCGAGATTGCCCGGAAATTATTTTCTTAGGCATCGATGGGAAAGCCAGCAAATAATCCAACTCTATGAAGCTGACAAATAATGAGAAATGACAAATAATTTTAGGGCAAAAGTTAGGCTTGAACTTAAGCCTGTGAAATTATCAAAATATCCATAATGCTTAATAATGGGCTTTGAGTCCTAAAACTTTGATAATAATGGCCTTAATCAGATTTTTTTTTTTTTGTTGAACTCAATGAAAAATATTTGAGGAGTGGTCTAGAATCGAGTGTTCTTATTTTGATCATTCAACTTTAAAATATTTATTTTCATCATTAACTTTTGAATTAATCCACTTTTGATCACTCAAGTGTTAGATAAAAAACAACAGGATGATAACTATTTTATGGTGGTGGGTGGCCTTTTGCTGACGTAAGATTACGTGTTGTCCACCTCATTTTTTTCTTTTTCATTTCATCTATCCATCATAAAGATGAAATTTCAAGAGTTTTATCCCTATGTAATATCAACAATAGAACCATCATTCACCAACGAATTCTTCGAAAACTTAAGGTACCAACGAACTGACCTTATCGTTCCCTATTGCTCTTATGTTGTTTTTTTAAATCTCTTCAAAGTTCGTGAAACTCAACCTAAAAAATAGAGAGAACCAACTATGATTTATAATCTATATAGTCTAATTAACATGTGAAGATACTCATTTTTTCATTTAAATAATAATAATATTATTATTATTATTATTATTATAATTATATTTAATTATAATTATAAACTAATATTATTATTAATTATTATTACAACGGGCCAAATCCGGCCCAACCCAAAAGCCCAAATATATAACCCTAAACCCATTTAGGGTTTGTATCTAGCTCCCAGCCGCCGCTTCCAGAAGGCTCAAGCTGCCTCTCCAGCTTCCAGACGTTGCTGCCGACGCCTCCACTGCCAGATGGTCCAACCAGTCGCTGCCGACGCTGCTTTTGCCACGCCACCTCACCGCCGTAAATTCCAGAACACCAGATGGCAGCCCAAATCGAGCTCCATGGTGAGTCACCAGCATAGCTATGGTGACTCACCTAGACATCCCTCTCGGGACTGGTCCAAACAGAACCTCGTGGTGGCTATAAAAGCCACCATACCTGCGAAAGAACAGACAGCCACGGAGAGACACGGCAGAGAACGACAACAAAAAAAAGAAAAAAGAAAAGAAAAAAATAATAACAACCCTCAGCAGCAAACAAAACAGAAAGAAAGAAAAGAGAAAGAACTTACCGAGGAAACCACAAGGTAACCGGAGACGCTACGTACCGAGGAAACATTCGAAATACCCGAAGGTATTTCTCTAGATCTGCTCCGATCCAGAGCTTTTTAGGGCAAACCAAGGCCAGATTCGACCTTGGGAGGTTCGGGTCTTTATTTAGGTCTTAGGAAAAATCCGGCCACCGTGTGTGGTAGCCGGCGGTGGAGACCAACACCGGAGTACGGTGTCCGGCGACGGCCGGAAACTCTCTCGGTTAGAGAGAGGCGAGAGAGTTTTATAAACTCTCTCCGGTTTGGGCAGGGGTATATCTGTAATTTCGCACACGGGTCAAACCTCTCGCGTAGTCATCCTAGATTTGTAAATTTCTATTTTTGTCACTAAAATCAATTCTTATATGTTTAATTAAGTCTCGTAATTTTATTTTATTTCATTTTAGTCCTAGCCTGTATTTTAAATATTTAGGATAAATAATATATTCAGTCCCTTAATTTTAATAATAATATTTTAATACTGAGTTTATATTTTTAATTTATTTTAATCTAATATTCGAATTTTAAATAAGTTTATTTTAGTCACTAAATAAATAAAATAAAGAAATAGCATGTTTATCCCTAATATTTTGATTAATTATGAATTAGATTTTTTAATTTTACTTTTACTATTTTAGTCACTAATTCTATGTTTTATTATTTTATTATTTTTATATATCATTTTAAATACTTTTTTATTATTATATAGTTATAAATATAGTAATAATATATTTATATATATTTAATAAATTATTTTGATATTTTTTTTTAAATATCGAAGAAAAGGACAGTCTCAATACAACTGGATGTCCTATTCTGGTATTTTAAATTAAACAATAGTATTTAAATTAATATTTATCAATATCAAGGAAAGAGCTATCTTAAGTTCTTTTCTGATGTTTTTAAATAAATAAATATTATTTATATAATTTTGAAATAATAGGATTATAAATTAAATATATTTTTGAATTTTTAAAATTTTAATACTAGAGACAATTTATAATTAAAAAGTACCAATTTTGGGCGTTGTAGGGGTGCTAATCCTTCCCTAAACGTAACCGACCACGAATCCCTTTTTATTATTAAAAAGAAAAAAAAGAACGAATTTTTGGTTATAAACGCAGATCAGCTCATTTTTTAATTGGTGTTTTCTTAAAACTCTTTTAAAAGATAATTTTTAGGTATTCGACCTACCTAACCCAAAAGGACGATGGCGACTCCCAAATTATTTTCAAAACATTTATTCACATCAATTTCCCCGCTAATAAATATTTCGTGCCCGGACGAAAAACGGTTACGACAGCTTGGCGACTCCGCTGGGGATCGGTCAATCTTTTAAAATCAATTATAAATTGTCTCTATTAATTATAATTAAAAATTCATATATTTAATTTTAATTCTTTCTTTTCAAAATTTTTATATATACTTATTATTTTCATAGTATTTATATATTTTCTTATTAATATTTCATTTTATTTGCAAATATTTTATTTCATTATTTATTTTTTCTGTTAGAGGTTTGAACATTTCTCCTCACACAACACTTGCATTGCATAACATAAAGCTCTATAATTGAGTTTGTCCCTTTTAAGTGGGAGTGAAAGCGACGTCTTTGTGAGAATTTATTCTCCGTGTCAGACCTAGCAAGTAACTTTCGGGGTTCATATGCTCTATGTCTTCGTGAGAATTTATTCTCCGTATCAGGTATAGAGAAATGTATCCCCTCGAATTGAACTCGATCCGCTTAAGTCTATAATGGACTAGGATTGAGGGTTGACAGCCCAAGGGGGCATCAACAAGGACAGTTCGAGTACCTTTATTCTTAGATCTGAAACCTTGCATATAATAAACCCTAGCACTTCACCTGATCTAAGACAATATTGAACCTCTGTCCGTAAGTGTACACAAAGGAGAAATAAGTTCTAGCTTTTAATTTATTCATTATTTTTTTCTTTTTTCTGAATAAATGCCTGCGAACTAGAAATCATACAGTTAGGTTAATTTTTCCAAACAAAGCATGGAACTAGAAAGCATGAGGTTAGGATTTATACTTTGATAAATAGGATCTTTTCTTTCCATTAATTGGTACTAACCAATTTTTTTTTTCATTTCTCATTTTTTTCATACATATTGTTTGCTCTAAACTTGTTTATATTTGATTTCTTTTGTTTGCATTACATGATCATGGCATAACCAAAAGGTGTTTACTGGAAAGACTGTTCATCATATTGGAAAGAAATCGTAAATGGACAAAAAGTTTTATGATCAAACAAAATATGATGCGGCCAAAGAAAGACATCCTGAGGAAACTCCGAGGATAGAAGCAAGCAAAGCACACAGAGATCCTGTTATATTAATACCAAAAGTATTACACAAAGATCCTACCAGATTGATACCAAAAGCAGTCTATGGTAAGAGCATCAATCAGGGCATTCAGATTAGTGGAGGTTTTTATGAAGCTCAAGCATGTTATTTGAAGGACTTGAACGACCAAAACAAGAAATTGAGCACAGAAATGAAAACTATGCATGAAGATTTTCAGAATCAGTCAAGCTTTTCAAAATACTGGCATGGGAAGTACCCCACAAGAGTGGATCACAGGGGTCACCAAGCTGAAAAAGAACTGCAACATATATGATCTTGTTCAAGAACTTCTTGGACAGAAAGGATCTCTTACAAGGGAAAATGAGCAACTCCGAGAAATAACACAGAAGATGAAAGAGAATGTCATGGAAGAAGTTGCAGTCCAGACAAATAATATGGTTCTTAAATGATAATTTAGCTGACTTTACAAGGAGATGAAGCAGACTGAAGACTCAACTTTTGAGCATAAATGGAAACTAACTGGGCTTTGGAGAAGTTAGAAGTGAAAGATATCCCTATATGTAAAGTTTTGTTTGATGTACCGAAACTTTGTGTTCAATGAAATCTGTTCTAAGATAATCACTCTTGAGTAACACCTTTTCATACATGCATTTGCATTTTGCATCTTTGCATTTTTCATTGTGCATTTATACTTTTATATTTGTTTTTGTACTATACAATTTGCATTTTTATTGTTACATTCACATATTTACATTTGAATTTGCATTTGCATTTTTACGTTTGTATTTACATTTTCATTTTTACATAATTACATTTGGTTTTAAACTATTTTACATACATTTAAACATGAAAACATGAGAGTAATTCGTGAGAATTCCATGATAGAATTTCTGAAATCAAAGTGAAGCTAACTTGGTCTTCCTAAACAAGGATAAGAACCATGAATGAGATTTTAGCAAGGGTTGGTAGAATTGAGAAACTACAAGAGCAACTTATCAAGACTCAACAAGAGATGATTGATCAAGTAAAAAATCCCATAATGATTCAAAATAGCAAATGACAAAACTAATGGACCTGATAAATGTTGTACTCCATGGAGAGAAACCCTTAAAGGATCCCACTGTGAAGGCTATGAATAAGGTTTTGAATGATAATGATGAGTTCGATGTGATAGTGTCTGATGATCAAGAACCTATTAAAGATATGGTAATTCAATACAGATTCAAGATTTGGTCTCAA